TCAAGAGGTTTTAGAGGAAAAGAATATTAGTAGGTGACCTAGAGACTGCTCTCCTGTTATTTTGGCAAAGAACATGGCTACTTTTTGCCCTTGTCCTAAAAATCTGCCTGAGGTTAAATTGAAGATTAAAGACACCACAGAAAAGATTTCAACCAAGGACTATGCATGGAGATAACCTAAGACCCCTGCACAGATGTAGCCCATGGCAGTTCAGTATCCAAGTGGGTTCCATTGTAATAGGAACAGGGACTGCCTCTGACATGAACTGATTGGCCCGCTCTTTAATTACCTCCCCCTGAGGGGGCAGCAGCCTTACCAGGCCACAAAAGAAGATAATGCAGCCACTCCTGATGAGACCTAATTGACTAGGATCCCTATCAGTGGACTTGGGGAAAGGCATGCATGCAGAGGGTGGAGGAAGGGAAGGATTGGGATGAGAGGAGGGAAGGAACTACAGGGGGGATACAAAGTGAATAAAGTGTAATTAATAAAGAAAAAAAAGATAGCCTAGTAATGATTCTGTCTTATGGTTATTAGTGCTTATTCTTTTGCAGATTTGTAATGAAAAGAAGCAAGTTGAGCAAGGAAATATACAAAATATACAGTCTGAAAAGAAAAAGAGCACCAGCTGGTATAATAGAGCTAAATTCAGTGCTCAAGGAGATAAAAAGTTTAATGGAAAGCCTGATGCTAAATGGAATAAAGTGAGTGGTGTCCTTAGGGCAAGACCTCACCCAGGTAAGCTTTCAACTTGTAGAAAGGAATTTTTAAAAACCTACTTAAGGAGTGAAGGAAACTATCAAAATCAGGAAGATAGTGAAAATGTTTATGTAGAAGGAGGCCAAGTTCCAGCCCCAGCAAGAAGCAGAACCTGGCAGTTTCACCCATGTGATTCTTGTGTTAGAGTCAAGGATACAAGAAAGGGTTTGTAGTATCTCCTTCCAATGCTTAGGAAAGGTAATGAGACCAGGTGTGTGTCAGGTGTGTCCCTGAATAGATGCCCAGAGAGGCCAATGCATGAAGTAAACGTGAAGCCTGGATTTTGTTGGGAACCTAAGATTCAAGATTTATGAGATACCTAATGAGGGGAGCCCAAGAGAGAGAAGTATGTTGTAATCAACAAAGCTGAAAGGAGTTGGAGATCTGAGGAACATCAGACATGGAGATGCTGAGTTTGGAGCTTGCCCTGGTGATTTTTTTATTTTTTTTTTTTTGGTCCAGTATTTCTTGGCTATGCTCCCTTTTCTCAATTTTGGTGAAAAAAAAATGTATATTTGGTGCCTTTGTATGTTGGTAGTTTGTGATCTGTTTTTTAATTTTGATTTAACAGAAGGTTATAGTTAAGAGATTGCCATGAGTCTCAGATGAGAGTTTGACTTTGGAATTTTAAACAATGTTGAGAATGTTATAAACTATGGGGACTTTTAAAGCTGGACTGAATTTATTTATTTATTTATTTATTTATTTATTTATTTATTTATTTATTTATTTATTTACAAATGAATGGCTATAAGCCTATGGGATCCAGGCAGTGGAATCCTGTGGTTTTTAATGAGAATGGACTCACGGTGCATATGTTTGAATGCTTAGTCATTAGGGAGTGGCACTACTTGGGAGGTATTAGGTGTGGCCTTTTTGGAGGAAGTGTGTCACTGAGGGTAGGCTTTAATGTATTAAAAGTCTAAGCCAGACCCACTGTCTCTCTCTTCCTTCTGCCTGCAGATTTGGATGCAGAACTCTCAACTACTTTTCCAACATCTTTTATCTTCCTGCATGCCAGCCAACTTCCCATCAAAGTGGTAATAGTCTAAACCTTTGAAACTGGACGCAATCCCTGATTAAATGCTTTCTTTTATAATTGTTACCTTGGTCATGGGGTCTCTTCACAGCAATAGAACACTATTTAGGACAATTAGTTTAGTCCCTTGAAGAAAGACAGCTCGCAGACATTGAGATTTCTCCCATGCCTACTGCTAGATATGGAAAGAAAGGACTGTGAGTACCCTGTATTAATGCCTGCCACGCACAGTAAAAGAAACTGGAACAGAATTTAGTTATTTAGTATCCAACAGCAATACCCAGAACATAGGATACTCCTCAAATTTGTACATCTCTAAGGAGATGGTTCTGTATGCTTAGTGGGAATTGGTGCTTAAGGTTAGCAGATTAATTAAAGTATTAAGTAAGATATAAGGCCCAATTTAGAAGATACCATTGTCTTATACCACTTTGAGGCTGCTGTATAGTATGAGTTTAGCAGCTTAGGGAAGGTACGAGAAAAGATACAAGGCGTGAATGATCACTTTTGCAAGGGCAGCACCTTTAATATAGCACATGCTAGTTCAATGCTGTGCTTAGAAATGCTAATATTTTTTACTGTTATTATTCTCATTTCCTTAGAAATTTTGATGTGTTATCTGTAATTATCATTCTTCATACAAAATGTCTTAAAGGTTTTTCAAACTCAAATTAATTCTTCACCTGGAATTTATCAGCTTCAAATATCTTTTTAAAAGATCTTTTTTGTTTTTTGTAGCAAATATTTTAAATTATTTTCAGACAGTCTGTGGGCAACCTCACATGGAAATAGGATAACTCCCGGGACCAATAATTTGTCAAGTGTCAAAACTTGTACAATGAATGTAAGTCTGTCTCCTGACAGTCTGATATTTAAAGCATATGGGTTTCATGTCAGAATATTCAATCCTCAGTTAAATATGAACTAAAACTTCCTGAAATTCTATTTGAAGCTCCCAGTATTGAAAGGGCATCATCTAGGATCTGTCATTCAGTGCTCTAGGTTTTCAAATCTTTATCATCAGAAAACAATGTACCTGGACTGCTTCCCATAATTCTCTAGACCTCTCTCAGCTAAGCCAATCATGCTGAAAAAAAATTAGTCAAGGGTATTATGAAAAGTTTATCTTAGAAAACACTAATTTGTTCCTAATTTCTCAATGTCTCTATTTTAGATTTTATAACAGTAAGTTAAAGAAGCAAATGAGCTGCCATTCAAATCAGTCATAATCAGTGAGGTACAAGTAAAAGACAAGATTGTAGAGAAGAGATAATCTGTCATTGAAAGTCTTTGTTATGACTTTCCATGATTGGTTGAATTACATTTTGGTGTATCTGTTGTTGCTCAGCCTGGGGCTATGGTCTGTATACTGCAGACAGTGCAGAGTGCTTGGCCAACAGTGCTAGTCTGTCTTAATTTCAGGACTGAGGGAGGTTAGAAAGACAGGACAAGGTGTGGAAGATATGGAGCAAGATTGAAGTCACTCACCAAGAGAACAAACAAGAAGTGTGACACCCCATTTTTAAAACTGGATTACTTGGTTTGTTGGTGTTTAACTTCTTCAGTTAGTTCTTTTTATATTCTGGATTTTAGTCCTCTGTCAGGTATAGGGTTGGTGAAGAACCTTTCCCAATCTGTAGCCTGTTGTTTTGTTTTGACGACAGTGTCCTTGGCTTTGCAGAAGTTTTTTGATTTCATGAGGTCCCATTTACTCGTTGTTGATCTTAGAGCCTGTGCTGTTGGTGTTCTGTTCAGGAAGTTGTCTCCTGTGCCAATGAGGTCACAGCTCTTCTCCATTTTTAAATTTTAAATAAATCTATAGTTTTATTAATGCAAAAACTGACAATACGGTATGAAGCTTACATTTAAACAATGTTTTTCACATACATTGAACACATTCTTAAAAAGATTTTACAATGTAGATCTAGATGTAGGTTTAGACAATACTAAAAATTGATGGATCTCATGATTCAAGACAGTACATTGGACATCAGTTAATCTGAATATTTTTTATTCTCAAGTGTATGCTACCCCAATATGAAAGTTAATCTCCTGAGTCCAAGGCTTGTGAAGTCATTCAACCCTTGAATTGACTCAGTAAAATTTGTGTTGTCAGTAACTGAACCCGCCACAAGCAGTTTCAGGTTTCAAAGCTTGGAAAACAAAACAAAACTAACTAACAAAGAAAAAACCAAACCAAAACCAAAAACCAAAACAAAAAAAAGCCCCCCAAACAAACAAACAAAATAGCCCAGAGGCCCCAAGAGTTTCCACCCCAGGAGCACAGGCTCTGCTCTCCCATCTCTCATAGGCCCTCCTACAATACTTGAGCCAATGGCTTGGACAGACAAACTGATATTTTTAACTTTGTAATTGAAAAAAAAATTGTTTGTTTTTCCCCATCCAGTTTCAGGAATTAGCACTTCTAAGGCAGAATGGTCTGCCTGTATATACCTCCCAACAAAACTTTCCCTCTTCAGTCAGTTTCCGTCATCCAATTTTGGTAATTCAGGGAACTGGCTTTGTCCTCAGTGGGCCACAAGGAGCTCAGGTAGGGAGCACCTTGGCTGCAGGTTTCAGTATTCACAGATTTTTTTTTAATAGTCTCCTGCAGTCCTCATTTATGTTGTCAATGACATTTTTTGAAAAGGCAAAATATTCTCAACATAGAACCAATATATTACTTATATGTTCTTTCTACTGTTTCACCATTTCCCCAATCAGGCCCTAAATTTTAACCAAAATGATGCTATCCACCTCCCTTTCCTGCCCCAACCCTCCCACCCCTAATTATTATACCACTAACAGCCCAAAACTACACACATGCTAGGCTGTAAAAATGCAGTTAACATTATTGGGAAGAAGGCTGTGGGTTGTGGAGATGCTCTTTGAAGGTCGACAGTATCTTGCTTTCCCACACCCCAGTTCTGCAGGTTTTGTCCTTCATGGAAGCCCTCCTCTTTCTTAAGAAAGTGCAGAATGGGTTGCCTTGAAACGCTTACCTTTCTCCTCCACTGGGATAGATGTGCAGACTATACAGCTGGAACAATGTAAAGCACTTGTGCTGCAGGGCACAGAAATTATGCTGGCTCTTCAGTGGACATCTACTCAAGCCAGCCCATGGGGTCAAGACAGGTACAACTCCTTCCCTCCCCACGTGAAACCCACAGTCAAAGGTTACAGGGGTGGGCACTCAAGAGGGTTAATCCTTGTCGTTATTTTTGTCATCATCCTCTGAGGGGCAGGAGTGCCACCTTAGCCTCTCCTCATAGAAGGGTATGACAAACTGTGGGCACTTGACATTGGCTTCCTGGGCAGGAACCAGATCAGCCTCATCAGAGATTTTCCTTTTCACGGGTAACATGAGCTCTTCACTGGAGTCCGTAACTCCAATAATCTGCTCTGGCTCCAAACTCTGGGCAAAGCCTCGTGGCGTTTCTGGCTCTTCTTTCTTCTTTGGTTTGCTTTCCTCTCCCTTATCTTCAGTATCAGAATCAGCTTTGAGTTTGCCTCCCTCTGATTTATCTATCTCACGAGCTGTTTTCTGTGACTGTAAAAACTCAGCAATGAGGTCAGGACAATCCAGGTTCTCTTTTGGCTCCCATGTGTTGTCATCCTCTGAGAGACCCTTCCATTTTAGAAGATATTCCACTTTGCCCCTGACAACTCGCCGATCAAGAACTTTTTCCACCACATAGTCTTCTTCCTCTTCTTCTAGGACCTCCTCCACTTTCTTCTTGTTTTGTTTTTTCCACAGAGCACCCTCTAGCTTTCCAATGTAAAGGGTGACTCTACTCCAAGCAGCTCCAGGAAAGGGTCTGAGAGGAATCTCTGCTGTGCTACTCACTGGTGGCTTAGGGCAGCCAGAAAGAGTTGCCACCAGAGAAGCAAAAAGTCCTATAGCTGAGTTGAACTCCCAGCTGAGGCGAACTGCAGGCCCCATGTGTCTGGTTTATGTTGAGTTCTTTGATCCACTTAGACTTTAGTTTTGTGCAAGGTGATAAATATGGCTCAATTTGCATTTTCTACATGCACACATCCAATTAGACCAGCACCATTTGTTGAAGATGCTGTCTTTTTCCCATGGTTTTGGCTTCTTTGTCAAAAATCAAGTGTCCATAGGTGTGTGGGTTTATTTCTGCGCCTTCTATTAGGTTCCATTGATCCACCAATTTTTTTCTATGCCAGTACCATGCAGTTTTTATTACTGTTGCTCTATAGAACAGCTTGAGATCAAGGATGGAGATACCTCCAGAAGCTCTTTTATTGTATAGGATTGTTTCAGCAATTCTAGTTTTTTTTGTTTGTTTGTTTGTTTTTCCATATGAAATTGAGAATTGTTCTTTCAGTTCTGTAAGGAATTGTGTTGGTATTTGATGGGAATTTCATTGAATTTGTAGATTGCTTTTGGTAGGATGACTATTTTCATTTTGTTAATCCTACTGATCCATGAGCATGGGAGATCTTTCCATCTTCTCATATCTTCTTCAATTTTTTTCTTCAGAAACTTGAAGTTTTCTTTTTTTTTTTTCATACGGTCTTTCATTTTGCTTGGTTAGATTCACACCAATTCACACTTTATGTTATTGGTAGCTCTTGTGAAGAGCATTGTTTCCTTAATTTCTTCCTCAGCCCTTTTGTGTTTTGTATACAGGAGGGTTACTAATTTTCTTGAGTTAATTTTGTATCCAGCCACTTTACTAAAGGTGTTTATCAGGTGAAGGAGTTCACTGATAGAATTTTTGAGGTCACTCATGAATACTATTGTATCATCTGTGAATAGTGATACTTTGACTTCTTCCTTTCCAATGTGTATTCTGTTGATCACCTTTAGTTGTCTTACTGCTCTAGCTAGAATTCAAGTACTACGTTGAAGAGATACAGAGAGAGTGGGAAGCCTTGCCTTTTCCCTGATTTCACTGAGTTTGATTTAAGTTTCTGTCCTTTAGTTTGATGTTTGCTCTAGTCTTGCTGTATGTTGCCTTTACTATGTTAGGTATGTGCCTTGTATCCCTGATCTCTCCAAGATTTTATACCTGAAGTAGTGTTAGATTTTGTCAACTGCTTTTATGGAATCCAAGAAGATGATCCTGTGATGTTTTTCTCAAGTAATCCAATTAAAAAATGGGGTACAGAGCTAAACAGAGAATTCTCAATAGAGAAATATCGAATGGCAGAGAAAAGCTTAAAGAAATATTCAAAGTCCTTAGTCATCAGGGAAATGCAAATCAAAACAATCCTAAGATTCCACCTTATAGCCATCATAATTGCTAACATCAAATAATTAAGTGACAACACATTCTGGAGAGGATGTGGAGAAAGGGGAACCCTCCTCCTTTGCTAGTGGGAATGTAAACTTGTTCAACCACTTTGGAAGTCAATCCAGTGCTTTCTCAGAAAATTAGGAATAGCGCTAGTGCTACCTCAAGATCCAGCTATACAGGGGTTTTTCTGAGACTGATACTCCAAACAAGGACCATGCAGGGAGATAATCTAGGTCCCCCACACAGATGTAGCCCATGGCAGCTCAGTCTTCAAGTGGCTTTCTTAGTAATGAGAACAGAGATTGTCTCTGACATGAACTCAGTGGCTGACTCTTGATCATCTTCTGCTGAGGGAGGAGCAGCTTTACTAGGCCACAGAGGAAGACAATGCAGCCAGTCCTGATGAGAGCTGAAAGGCTAAGGTCAGAGGGAAGGGGAGGAGGACCTCATCTATCAATGAATTTGGGAAGGGTCATGGGAGGAGATGAGAGAGGGAGGGTAGGATTGGGAAGGGATGAAGGAGGGGGCTATAGCTGGGATACAAAGTGAATAAACTGTGATTAATTAAAAAATAAATTAATTAAAAATAATAATAAAGAAAAAAGATGCAGCTATACTACTCCTAGGCATATATCCAAAATATGCTCAACTATACAGTAAGGACATTTACTCAACCATGTTCATAGCAGCTCTATTCATAATAGCCAGACACTGGAAGCAATCTAGATGTCCCTCAACCAAAGAATAGATACAGAAATCTGTAATTGGCATATTTGCACAATGGAATATTACTTAACCATTAAAAACAAGGAAATAATAAAATTTGCAGGCAAATGGTGAGAACTAGAAAAGATCATCTTGTGTGAGGTAACCCAGAAGCAGAAAGATACACATGCTATATACTCGTTTAAAAGTGGATAATAACCATATAATATAAGATTAACATACTAAAATCTATACTCCTAAACAACAAGGAAGACCCTGTCAAGAATTCTCAATCAGAAGGACAAATGTGATAGAGATTGGAAGCAAAAGAGAGGGAACAGGACAGGAGCCTACCGCAGAAGGCCTCTGAAAGGCTCTACTGATCCAGGTATAGAAGCAGAGGTTGAGACTCAGCCAAATTTGGGCAAAGTGCATGGAACCTTATGAAAGAAGGCAGAGATAGAAAGACCTGGAGCAGACAGGAGCTCCAAAAGGAGAACAACAGAGACATAAATACTGATCCCTGGGGGCCCTAAAGATAATGATACCCCAACCAAGGACAATGCATGGAGAAGACTTAAAATCCCAGCTCAGATGTAACCCATAGACTCAGTCTCCAAGTGAGGTCCCTAGTAAGAGGAACAGGGACTTTCTCTGTTGTGAACTTAGTGGCAGGTTTTCTGATTACCTTTTCCTGGAGTGGGGTGCAGCCTTGCCAAGCTACTGAGGAAGACAATACAAATAAGCCTGATGAGACCTGACAAGCTCAGATCAAAGAGAAGGGGAGGAGGACCTCCTTTTCCAGTGGACTAGGGGAGAGGCATAGGGGGAGAAGAGGGAAGGAGAGTGGGTTTGGAATGATATGTAGGAGAGAGCTATAGCCAGGACAGAGATTGAATAAATTGTAATAAATGAGAATAATTAAAACATTTTTTAAATGAAAAAGTAATTGTGGCACAAATTAACAACTCTCTTAAATGTTTTTCCTTTCCCAGCTATAAAACTACAATTTAAAAAATGTAACCAAAATACTACTTACAGGGAAAAAACACATACTAAACTACTTATATAACCCTAATGCTCCTGGTTTTATTTTATCAGATTTTATGTCCAAACAAGGCATATCCAGAACCACCCTATAATTTCATTTTTTTAAAAAAAGAGAGAACGGGGGAGAAGTGAGGATTCTTACAACCTTTTCAGAAATAACTTGAGTTATTTAATATTAATATATATGTCTATTGTTAAGACAATTGCAACTTTATTGTAGTGAAAGACATGCCAAAGCCCTCATAGGCACTTTCATTTCCTTCTTGAATATCTTTCTATTCTTAAGAAAATCTCAACTCTATTTCACACTGGCTAGTTTTGAAATTCTCTTCTGCACTGGTGCTCCAAGTCACTGGTTAGCTCATGTAGAAGTCCCCAGAAGATTAAATGAACTTCTGAGACTGACATGCAACCAAGGACCATGTATGAATGTAACCTAGAACCTCTGCTCAGATGTAGCCTGTGGTAGCTCAGTAACCAATTGGCTTCCCATAGTGAGGGGAACAAGAACTATTTCTAACAGGAACTCAATGACTGGCTCTTTGGCCTCCCCACCCCCCAAGGGAGGAACAGTCCTGTTAGGCCACAGAGGAGAGCTTTGCAGCCAGTCCTGAAGATACCTGATAAAACAGGATCAGATGAATGGGGAGGAGGTCCCCCCATCAGTGGACTTGGAAAGGGGCACGGTGGAGATGAGGGAGGAAGGAAAGGACTGGGAGGGAATGAGGGATCGGGACATGGCTGGGATACAGAATTAATAAAATGTAACTGATAAGAAAAAAATAAAATAAAATAAAATAAAAAAGAAAAAAAAATGAACTCCTGAGGCATCTGAGAGCAGAGAACTGAGACTCTGCTCCCTCCCTGCACTGCTCACAGGAATTGCTATTGGTCAGCTAAGGTATGTGACTTCCAGGTTGGCCAGTAGCATGTGGTGCTACTTTAGTGAAATATCTTGCTTATTAGTGACTTTCATTAGTCAGGATGCCTAATTAATCATACATGTAGAAAAAAGCAGAGTTAATATTTTCTCAATCCCCCCCAACCCCGTCCCCTGGATAATACTTAGCATTCTACAACATATAGGGAGCAGTTAAACCATTGCTTACTTACAATATCGGTTTTGGACCATTAGGGTTGAGATTTCTTCAGAAAAGTCCATCGAGAAATTTGAATGTGAAAACATGAAACTATCCTAAAGGTAACTGGAAAGTAAACATCAAAACAAGAACTGAAATAGAAGTATTGCCTATTTATGTGTCCAGCACTCTTCTAACGGCAGTATTTACACCATATCATTTATATCTACAGACAGCTTTATTATTGTCCCTGATTATGGATAGAGAAACTGAAGCTATCAGGTATCTTGCTTAATATCACACAGTTAATACTTGGTAAAGCTGAGATTCCCACTAAGGTGGAGTGGACTCTGTATTGACCTTAGTACCCTGAGAATAACTGAGCCATAAAAGCCACAGGACTTGAGCTTCTCAAGTATGGTTGAAAGAGGCAGCCTGAGTGGAATTCAAGGCTAGAGTACCTCTAGGTAGGCATCTTAAGGCTTATATTTGTAGTGAGAAACTTTAAGGAAGGATGAAGGACCATCTCTCCTTAAAAAAATAGAGCAAGCTAGCTTCTTTTTATAAAAGACCAAGATCTTGAGCATAAAGTTCCTGTCTTGGATTTAAGTTCACAAGCCACATTCTTTTTTTTGAATTTTATTTTTTTCTTATCAGTTACATTTTATTAACTCTGTATCCCAGCCATGTCCCGATCCCTCATTCCCTCCCAGTCCCTCCCTTCCTCCCTCATCTCCACCGTGCCCCTTTCCAAGTCCACTGATGGGGGGGACCTCCTCCCCATTCATCTGATCCTGTTTTATCAGGTATCTTCAGGACTGGCTGCAAAGCTCTCCTCTGTGGCC